ACAGATGTCAGGGTGGTTGAAGTCTCCCATGAGAACCAGGGCCTGTGATCGTGAGGCTACTTCCAGCTGTCTGTAGAAGGCCCAATCGATGACTACCTCCTGGTCAGGTGGCCTGTAGTAAACCCCCACAACAGTGTCACCCATGTTACCCTGCCCTTTAATCCTTACCCATAGGCTCTCAACTTGCTCTTCATCCACCCCTAGGCAGGGCTCTGTACATTCCAGTTGCTCCCTCACATAAAGGGCAACTCCACCACCTCGCCTTCCTGGCCTGTCTTTCCTAAAAAGCACATAGCCATCCATGACAGCATTCCAGTCATGCGAGCTATCCCACCATGTCTCTGTCACTGCAATGAAATCATGGCCCTGCGACCACACACAGATCTCTAATTCTTCTTGTTTATTCCCCATGCTGCGTGCATTGGCATACAGGCATTTCAGAGAGCCAGTCAAGCATGCAAGCTTCCCAGGAGAGGTGCAAGAGGATCCTCCACAGCCATGTTGCATGCTGTCTCCCCTGGCTGTATGCACCCGCTGGAGGCATCCCAACCTGAGCGGTGTTTTGCTGACTACCCTGCCACTATACCACTCCCCTTCCCCTATCTTTCCTAGTTTAAAGCCCTCCTTACCAGGCTGGTCAATCTGTTGGCAAAGACACACGTGCACCCGCTTGGTAAGGTGGATCCCATCGCTCCCCATCAGCTGTCGATCTTCAAACAGGGTCCCATGGTCATAGAAACCAAAGCCCTGTTGCCAACACGAGCAGCGCAGCCAGTTAACTTGGAAAACTTGTCTACTCCTCCTACATAATATATGTCATCTAATTTAGAGCTTAAGAATAAGTGTCCTAAAGCCTGACTGTTCATTGCAAACAATATTAGCATGATATGCTCTGGGTAAGTTGAAATTTTCCTTACTATGGCTAAGTGAAGCTCCAATATTTTCACAGTTTGGCAAATATTCTTACCGCAGTTCATCATCTCCAAAATTGCCTTTCAATAGCAGGAGGCAAGTTCCTCTCACAAAGCTGTAAGAAATATGTCTTCTGGAGAGTTTCCATATGAGATATCAGTCTTGCAAAACACTTGCTCATGTACTTCAAAGGTAGAAACTATATGTCTGATACCTCTCTACTACTTAACCAGGCTGATCTTTTACCGTAACACATCGTGGAACCCATTCTAGGATTTTTTCCCTCAAGCTCACAACTTCTGTTTGTGCTTTAATATACTTTGCAATAGGATGCCTTCATATAAAGATTTCAAATGAGAAAAGGCTTTTGCTCCCTTTTCTCAATGGCAAAGCACCATTTTCGCACTCCAAGTTGGCTAGCCCAGCTTCCAGCTGCTGAATTTGCTCTGTGCTTTTGTAAGGTTGCAAATCATTTAGAAACTCTTCAAATTCCATCTCCCCTCCTCATACTGGAGAACTGTAGGCATCAAAGCTAAACAGCGCATTCAAGCAATGATGTGACTAATTCTGCCTAAGTAATATGCCCTCACTTGACTTTTTTCCTTGTTTTTGCATTCAGGGATATGTTAGCCATTTTTCAGTTTACCAGGCTGAACCACTGAACACTTTTTGCCTCTCAAGTTGAACTACTAAGGTGACAAAGCTAGTCTCCTGCATCTTGCTTTTGGTTGGATCACCTGGTTCAAATACTGTTAAACATTCTCTGTACAGTAAAGACTGTTTTTCAGTCACATGACTGCAACAAACCCAACTGCATTTGGCACGTGCGAAACCTTTCATTCAGAGATCTGTTGCCAAAAAATTAAAACCAATTAAAAAAAACAGTTCCAAAACAAAGAGCTTATACTTTCAGAGAAGAAAGCACAGAAACAAAAGGGCAAACACATACTTAAGAGGAGTGTAGATATGGGTTATATTTATACCTCATCCTTTTGTTTCCAGCTTTTGCACAGTTTCTTTGGTCCTGCTAAATTCCATGTCTGCCTGGAAGAAACTGTTCCTCCTCTCAGCACACACTGCCAGTCTCTTTGCCAGCCTGACAAAGAGAAGTTGACAGGCTGCCAGCTTCCCTTTGATCCTAAAGTTTTCTAGGGGGAAAAAAAAAATCAAGATATTCTCAGCTTGCCTAAAACAAAGATGGAGGAATTCCCCAATAAATGCCTCTCTATTGTTTCCTCCACCATGCATCTCTCTCGCATTTTTCCCATTGATTTCTTTAAAAACTCTTTAAAAACTTTATGCAAAATTAGCTGTCAAACACATATGCAATAGATCCATATGAACATCAATATTTCTTCCCTCAAACCATCTCAGTACTATGTTAGAGGCTCAGTTTCATTATTGTACTCCCACCCACTGCATCACTGTATTTTAGATAGAAAGGTATCACAACTTTGTTTAGTATATGAGTAGGTTCTCTGCAAAAACAAAAAAATGGCAGAACATATAGTGACAGCACATCCACTGTTTATCTTCAAGTTTGTATATGTAAATGGAGAATATTATAAGTTACAATTTTTGTTTCCTAGCTTTCAATTTTAAAAAGAAAAATGTCCACTCATGCAAGTGGATTCAGCTTCTTGTCTTTCAGATCTGCATCTGGAGTCCCTCGGATTTCTGTGGAGCAACCATAAATATTAACATAAATTATAAGCTTAACAGCTTGATTTCCTAAAGTCATACTATTTGCCAGAGACTATCCAAATCAAACCGGTAAAAACTGAGAAACTGCAGCAATTCAACAGTTGCATGTTTTCCATAAAACATAGTAAGCAAGATATAAACATCAAATAAAATTACTGCATGCCATTTTCAGTACTGTTCAACACTTCAAAAATAATACCTTCCCCACTTTTTAAATGAATGATCCACTGCTAACATTGAGAAAGGCAGCATTTTGAAGTGATGACAGCTCATGGTGCAGCATTATCTGTTACTCTGCGTTTCAGAATGATTGACTTAAAGCAGTTATGAACCGCAGCAACAGTAAACGCAGTGAGAATAAGGGCAAGTTCCCAACTCTTCCCTAGGGCCAGCACAAATACTGATACAACACATAAGTGGAATTGCTATAGCTGAAAATTACCCATTCAGCTACTCAAACAGCAGTGCTTGCACAGGACAGAGCAGCAGGACTGCAGGACAGCTTCTTCAAGTCTTGTATCATACTTCTGTTGGTTTGAAATGACCAGAAACCAGAAAGACAATTAAAAGTAGTCTTTTAAGAGGACATTAAAAAGAAAGTCAGAAGTGTCAACATACCATACACTGAATGCATAAGTGACTTATGCTCTTGGCTTCTTCTGACTCTGCATAGCGCTAGCTATTTTTTATTCTAACTTGGATAAACTGGAATTTCTATGCTGTGTAGTACATCCACATGGTAAGCCTCCATTAGCCTGCGAGGTGCATTTCACTAAAGCCATCATCTAGAAAAGTTTTGCTTCTTAGATGTCATAAATCACAACATTCAAAGTAAGAGTCAGTGGAGTAAGTTAAGTGATAATTCAGGGAGAAAACATACAGAATATTTCCTGTCCTTTATGTTGATGTCCAGAGTAGTAAGTACCTTGATAAAAATTATACGGCTTGGAAAAAGTCTTATTTGTGTAGCTCAGGAAAAGCATGATATGCTATTAAAAACCTCACAGCAAAGCTTCACAGAATATCTGATACAACATTTTACTGCCAAAGGGGTTGCTCATTGCCTTTTTCTTCTGTTACTCTTCTCTCAGATTTCCCTTCCAGTACTCTGGCATAGACTTCTCATAGACTCCACAGCCTGTTTGCACAGTGTGTCAAATGAACCTGCTAATCAGGCTGAATACTAACTTGACAGAAAGCAGCCTTCTGTGGGATTAGCAAACTGGAGTATCTTGCAGAAAGGTCAGATGATACCCATAACCAGCAGAAAGCAAGGGGGTGAGAGGTTGGCAGAAGGTGGGAAAGCAGCAGAACTGTCCCCTTCAACAGCAGTGGGTGGTTAGAATATCCCTGTCATATCCTTTAATTGCATGTGCAGAGTGAAAATTGTTTTCCAGCTTATCCACAGCACTCCCGCAGGATTTACTTTCATATGCAAATTCCTGCATGGTATGTGCAAAGCAAGGTGTGCTGAAATCTTTCTACTGATCCACACGTGCACTGTGACATTTCCTTTGCTTCAGGAATTTATTCTTTTGTGAATGACAAGTTAAGAATGTATAGACATACTACTGGAGGCTTCCTACCCCCCTATTGTTGCTTTAGCAGTAGTAGAAGCTTATTTTCCTAAGACCGACCTACAGCAATAGGAAAGCTCTTGACAGAAATGGCTCATGAATCACATGAACACGGCAGCCCTTCACACAACAGGTGATAGGCCTTGGAAACTCCCTATCAAATAACAAGGCTAAAAGTTTATGTGGTTTCATAGGAGATAGGATCAGTTCATGGAAATGAACTACATTGAGGGCTGCCATATCTGGATCAAGAAGTCCCTGAGCTGCAGATAACTGGAGGCCAGTGTGAGAGGTCACATACTTTGCCCTCATCTTACTCTTCCCTAAGCAGTCAATAACAGCCCCTGCTTGAGGCAGGACTCCATAGGAATTGGGCCTCTGGTCTGGCAGGGAATGATCATTCTTACTTTCTTTCAGTGTTAGCAAGAGAACATTATCTCAGTTTCTAAGTATTCAAAAAAACCTGCTACTTACAGGAAAGTCATACATACTTTCAAAGAATATCCATTGTGAAACAGTGGATGTGTACAGTATACAACATCCTCAAAACACCCTTCTAGGATACTTCAGTCAACTAACCTATAGTCATCAACATAGCATCACCTAACAGAAGATGGAAAGTTTCAATTTAGTATATGTTAAACCAAGTTTAGCAAAGTAAGCGTTAAAGCCTACTTTATCAGAATAAAATAGCCTAATACAGAAAACAGGATTTATACATTAGCAGGGAACTGCTTTCATAAGTGGAATTTAAAATCTGATTTAGACTTCTAATTTCCTATACAGTACCTAGAAATTACAGCCATGAGCAGGGAACCATATAAAAATCAGTGCAGTAGGTCCAGCTTGTTATCAGCAAGCATTCAGAACTGGAGTCCGGTCTTTTACCAGGCTAAGCACTTTAGTTAACAAATGCAGAATCTCTCCACTCACCTGAAATCTACAGCCTACAGTACTAATTGAACTTTCATATCACTGAGCACTGCTCACAATTCTCTTTTAGAGGCCAAAGGAGGCAGCAAATAGGGAAACTATTACTGAGGAAAAAAACTGAAACAAACAGGCTTACAATAGAATAGAAAAGAATCTCCTCTTTCAGAGGATTGTGCACTAATCACTAGATATAAATATTTCTAGCTTTTGCAGAGTCCTAGTTGTCTGCAATGTTCATTTTGGAACACAATCCCTAGAATCTAATGCATTATTCTGCCCTGACTTTACTAGAGAAAAAAAGAATAGCTCTATTGCTAACCACTACCATTTTTTAAAATATATTTTTGCTTCACTACCTCGTCTGGTGTTCCACTGAAGTGTTTTTTAAGGATATCTGCTAAAGCTTGTTCAGCTAGCTTCAAAGGTTCTGTCTCTTCTTCCTTACGTACCAACTCTTTGACCCTGGATGTACAAGCTTAGATGTTCAGTAAATTCTGAAACAACAATATATTTAGCCTGAATAAACAAACTGACAAATATAAAACTCCTTTCTTTGTCCCCATGTTAAAACACTACATTTTTGCTTTCCAAAACTAAAAAACTTGAGGGGGTACCAACCCCTCAAGTTTCCTTCCCCTTTTCATCTATCAGTGCTTGAAATTTTGTTCTCATTCAAAGCCTTGGTATTAAAACTTGATATTCCTGTTTCAAAACAGAGAGGTGTTATGTTTTGTTCCCACTTAGCGAGATTATAGACCAAAGTTGGTGTTTGCTTTGCCTTTTAGAATTGATGAAAAAGATCTTTCAAGACACATCATTTCACCTATCCCTTACAGAAAATAGATTTAAGAAATCCTCCCCCCCCTTTTTTTTTTAAAGCATCCTAAAATTTTAAATAGGTTTTGAAGAAGAGTTGCAAGAGTCTTCAGAGATGGTCTCCTTCTCTCTGCCATAAGCTTTTCTAGCTCTTCTTCACAGTCGGGTTAAAGCTATTTGTCTCTCCCTCTGCTTCCTACTGATCAAGTACATAGCAGCCTAGAGGAAAGCATACAAGTTTTCTCTTAATACTGATACAAGATTCTTTCAGATTTGTTCCTTTGTATGACCAGGTATGCTCAACTTCTATGCAGCAGGAGACAAAACAACCACAACTACTATTTTATACAACAAAGCGATATGCTATAATTCAGGCCAAAGTTTATTTTGGAAAGATATCCTGCATGAATTCACGGGTTGCAAGAATTACTACCCTCCCACCATTTCTGTTCCAGAGCTTAGTTCTACTTGTTCAAAACCTTTAACCTTTTTAGCCTGAATATGAATAAATCACTAATCGACTACTAAGCCTCATTTTATTTTCTCTTTCTACCAGAAATCTTCATTAGGTCACTAACCAAAGGATGAAATCATCCAGTTACTTTTACTTCCTTTAACTACATTTGGATGTGTTTCTTTGATTCACTGTGAGGTTGTTTCCAAATCAAGGTTCATCCCTTGACCCATTTTCAATTTTCTTATAAAAAACTTTCTAAAGTACAGGAAAGTATTAATGTTCTGACATAACTAATATCATACACAGAGAGACTAGAGTTCCTTTGCATCCAGACATTCCTCATTTACTAAGACAAAAACTCACTTGTACACCTTTTTGTAACACTGCACTGGGAACAGCTAGTCAATAAAATCCTCCTACCCTCAGCCCTCAAACTTTGCTTTCTAAGACAAAGTCTTCAACTTGTAAGCGTGATATATAGAAATATGGCTGTCTGACAGCTAGTTAGAAATAGTATATATATATATTTTTGAGCAAGAACTTATCAAGTAACATAGACTATTGCATCACTTGGCCCTTTCATCAATTAGAGTATCTTCTTCTATTATATAATTGATAAAAATACTGAACAGCTTTACATCAAGGACAAATCCAGGTGGAAATCACCAGAAGCAATGCTACTAACCCTTGCTTAGAATCACAAGGATTATGAATCAGTAAAATAGTTTATTTAGTATGGGGCTACATCAATCTTCTACAGTACAGCATAGATGTCTCTTGGCAGGATTCACATGAGAAATCTCTTACCTTTTCTTATTAGATGAGAAGTTGAAAATCTAAATGCTTAACCCTTTGTTACTGAGGGTATGATTCCAAGAGATGTTAACCCCCCACTCTCATCTTTCAGTTGTGCACTCCCATGTAACACTGGCCCGTATTTAACCTCAATGAACTAATTCAGAAATCCAAAACAGATTAAAACCAACTCCACCAAAAAAAATAAACAGTTTTCTGCATGTTTGAGTCCATAGTAAGGTGATTCAGGGAGGCTCATGTATCAACACCTGAGTTAAATCAAATCCCTAATACACAGAAGCACAAGCCAGAAAGTCTATATGAGTGCTATTCAATATCCAGGTAAGTTTGGTTTAAGAATCCTATTGTTCTAAGTTAGAATGACGTATTAGAAAGGTCAAAACAATGGTACTGGGATGACTAGTGTTCACAGACTGAACAGTGAGAAGGAGAAAGCTACCAAGGAGAAAACAATACAGGATGCCAACAGCCATAACTGACCACACCTTTTAAGAGTGGAAGACAATGATTAGATCAGATGCAGAAATTATTCTGATGAGTACACTTTTGGAAGGATGTATGGAAAATACAGAGCTACACCGTAAAGAATGATTTAAGAGAAAGTTACATAATACTGCCAAACAAAGATCCAGCCAAATGACATCACAGGGAGGAGCTGAAGAGGATATGCTATTTTGTATTTGAAGGTGAAGTATAGTACTTCACTGCAACATGCAATTATGCTTGCTAGAAAGGGAAATTAGAATTAACTGTATTTATCCCTAATATTTCTTCTTTTAAGTAGAAATCTGCTAGCCCATCAAGAGTCTTGCACAAGTTGAAAAGCTGTGAAAGCTCCTTTCTCTACTTGCTGTGCTTCTCCAAAATCCACCTGCCAGTTGCTTCTACGGGCAAGCCTCAGAATTTGCACCAACGTCATTCTGACCCAGTCACCAACACACCATCATTCCAAAACATCACCACAAAACAAACAAAAAAAACCCCAAAACATTCATGAAACTGACATAAAAGGGTAACAAAAAGCCACATACAGACCACTGCCAGGGGAAGAAAAAAAAGAAGCCAGATCATATATGTTTTTTTTAATAAAGTCAGATAGTTAAAAGACCAGTTACCAGATGAGTTACCAGACTTTCTGAAGTCACCAAACAAAACATGAGCAGAACAAGTATTTGTCCCTGGCAAATTTTAGAAAAAACGTTATTTTATCATTTTTTTTTTCCAAGGGACTCCATCACTCCGGTATCTTTAGTGTTGCAGGGAAGTAGTAAGCCACAGAACTATCCTAGAAGTGGAAGATAAGTCAGGTGACAGACATAACATTTGTTTTAAAAAAATAGAAAAACATGGATCTGAAATGAATGCCAAAGGAAGTAGATTACAAAACTAATGAATGAATTCACTCCATGAATGAATTCAGAGTTTCAACCACCTGCCTGAGCAAACCCTATTCTAAAAGGCAAATTTATTTTATGTAAGAAGCATCTGGAACTCTCCTAGAGTCTAAATTAAGCATTCAAGGCGGGGGACCTCAAAAGCCATGTAAGATTGGATAATAATCAGTTTATCTAGAGACAGAAGATCTCCAATACTTTATAATGCTAACTAGGTCTCCAATGAGATACCAACAGGCACTTTTCCTTGCTGCTTTGTTGCACG